AGAGAGAGAGAGAGAGAGAGAGAGAAGGGAACAGAAAGATACATTTATATGTATATATAATATACATATAAATATATTTAATAGCATTATTACAAATTTGTCAAATTGGAAAATATAAGTTAACTTTGATTAATCATGAAAATTAATAAAATATAATTTCAATTCTACGTTTACAGATTGAGTTCAATAAAATATTTGCTTCTGGCGATGATCTCACTTACAGGCGTCATAATAGGATCAGTATTAAATATTATGCAGGAACAACTACCTTGTCGAATATGGTTGCCATTGGATTACAATGTGTCTCTAGTATTCTGGATTATATCTATTCAACAAGTTGTAGCTATAATTGCTGGCACTATCATAAATGTCGGTACGGAAACTCTAGTCTTTGGATTAATTTTAGAAACATGTGTCCAACTCGAAATTTTCGAAAATCGTCTTCACAAATTAATAAATAATAAAACAGTTAAATACCTAAAAAATGCATTTTGTTCGTTGAATGAGGATAAAACAGAAATATCAAAATGCATACGACATCATCTTAGTATTTACAAGTAAGTCGCTAATTGAGAATCCATTTTTATGCAGCAATCTTTTTATATATGTATTTAACTATTGGGAGTACAAATTAGTTCAGTCCGTTCAAAAATGCATTTATTTCAAAATAAAATGAATGAACAGATCAATTAAAATATTGTCCATCGCTGCCTACTACTTTTTCCCGTCTCTCAGGCAATTTTCGAATTTCATCTCGAAAAATGACGTCTTTGGAGGCGATCCAATTTTGGAGCCAATTTTCGATTTCTGCGAAAGAAGTGAACCGGTGACTTGCTGCATCCTTCGGAACAACTAGTAATCAGAAAGAGCAATGTCCGGAGAATATGGCGAGTGCGATAAAACATCTCATTTGAGCGTTTCCAAATATTTTATTACGACTTTAGTGACATGAGGCCGAGCATTGTCATGAAGAAGAATAACTTTATCATGTCTTTACTCGTATTCCGGCCGTTTTTCTCGCAATGCACGGCTCAAATGAATCAATTGTAGCTGATACCGATCACCGCAATGAAATCGCCAGGTTTCAGCAGTTCATAGTAAACAAGACCCTTTTGGTCCCACCAGATACAGAGCATGATCTTCGAACCATGAATGTTCGACCGTGTTGATGTTGAGGTCGATGACAACGATTGACCGGCCTTAGTGTAGTATTTTTTCTTCTTGGGGTTGTTGTAGAATATCCACTTCTCATCTCCAGTCACAATCCGATGCAAAAAACCTTTTCTCTTTCTGTTGTCTTTGAATCAGCTGTTCGCAAGTGAAAAAATCGTCTTTTAACGTCTCTCAATTTCAGTTCATAAGGCATCCAATTTCCTTGTTTTTGAATCATTCCCATGGCTTTCAATCGTACAGAAACGGTTTGTTGAGTTATCCCCAATGATTCTGCAAGCTCCTCTTGCTCTGATCTTCTTCGAGTAATGCCTCTAATTCTTTGTCTTCGAATTTTTTTGGCTGTCCAGAGCGAGGTTTGTCTTCAATGAGCGAGGTTTGTCTTCAATGAGCTGAAATCTCCATCCTTGAAACGTCGAAACCATTCTCTACATGATTTATCAGTTGGAGCAGTGTCACCATAAACTTCGACAAGCATTCGATGGGCTTCAGCCGCACTTTTCTTCCAATTAAAGCAGAAACTCAAAACCTCCCGCAAATGCTGCTTAGTTAATACAAAATTCGACATTTCAAACACAATAAAAATCAAGGTTTTTGTGACTCACTGTGACATGAAACTCAAAGCGATATAAACTGAATATTATTAGCAGATGTTTAATCTCTCTGAAACCGCCAAAATCACAGTAAACCATTCACAACAGCTGGAGCCATCTTTAGAGAAACGGACCGAACTAATTTGTACTCCTAATATGTAAAAGTATTTATATATTATTTAATTGTTGTGTTTCTAAAAATTGCAATTGATCGTAACAATACTTATTAATATTTTTATAAAAAATTGTTTAAGGTCTAAAGATAGTTATTATAAATAATTGATGCTATTTGGAAATAATAAATAACTATTATAAATACGATAAGAAAGCATCATCAATGTGTGATTTTATCGTTCTATTTACTACAACATAGATGTATATGGTATACGTATACGGAGAGTTCCAGAATGACCGCCAAATATTTTGTGCACAGCGGACTAATCTGAGTCAGAAAATCCTCTACCATTTTGCAATTTTCATAATAATTAAGATAATAAGATATTAATTACTAAAAATCGCCAAATATTGATTTTCAATAATTATTTTCCACTTAAATACTATCAACTTTACAGCAAGAGACAAAAATTGTTTATTTCCTTCTCATAAATTTTGAAAATTTTTACAGAATTTTTTATCAACTTTTTAGTTTTTTTTTGCATTTTTTTATTGGCAACTATTTTTACCAATATGAGAAAATGTAGTACTAAAAAACTTATGAAAATAAACAATTTTTATCTCTGTTTTTCTGTAAAATTGATAATACTTGAATAAAAAATTATCAAAGCCAATATTTGGCGATTTTTAGTTTAGTTAATCTTCCTTAACTAATTATGAAAATTGCAAAATGGTAAAGGACTTTTCGACTTAGTACATCCTATCTGCGAAATATTTCGCAGAGCGGTCACTCTGGGACATCCTGTATATGCTTATTATTATGTCGTAGTAATAATTGCATAGATATTATGCATAGATATTAATAATTGCATAGTACATACATGTACTTGCTTAAAACTAAAAAGTTTTTATTTCAATGAATACCATACACATAATTTTTCTATAAATTTAAAAATTGTATAAATTATATTATTCAATTATGTACAAGGATAGTAATTTATTGCAACACAGAACTAACATGGAACTATTACAGATATGCCAAAACGGTGAACGTTATATTTAATCAGGTACTGTTCGTTCAATTTTTCGGTAGTATATTGATATTATGTACATGTATATATTACCTATCAACGCACATTACGGAACTGTCTGGAATTGGAACTTTATTAGTATATATCATTTGCATGTTTGTACAAATTTACATTTACTGCTGGTCCGGAAACGAAGTTATGCTTAAGGTAACTTACTCTATTAAATATATGTATATATCTTACTAAAAATGATAGAAAAACAGCGAGTATATTTTCCTACAATTCAATACGAGTGAGATAATTTAACTTTCTTAGTAAATAAGGAATTACTTTATATACGAAAAAATACTTTATATACAAATATTCATTTATATGTGTGTTCATCAGTCTTGTATTATTTGATATGTACGTAATATAAAACTAATAATTGATAAGATTATACGGTATTATTATACAGCAATAATATTATATATGTTATGTTGGCAGAGTATAAGCATAGGAGAGGCTATATATTGTATGGATTGGTCACTATTATCCATTATCGAAAAAAAAGAATTGCTGATGATTATGATACGTAGCACAATTCCTATTAAATTCACTAGCAGCTTCATGATAACTTTATCTCTTCAATCTTACAGCAATGTTAGTAATATTATTACTTAGATTTTAAATAACTGGACAAATATTACGTATATTATATAATGTTTTGCGTTTAATGTTGGAGAACTTAATATTTGTTGAATACATTTGAAAACAGCTTGTATATCTAGCAAGTGTTTAATAGTTCATATTAATATATATTCTCTAATTTTTTTCAGATTTTAAAAACATCATACTCCGCATTTAACGTACTTCAAAAATAAAATACAAATAATATAAGAGTTTATTTGAGCATATTAATTATGTAGTTTTTCGCAAATTAATGACACTAAATTTTAAAATTTCTGTTTATGTATTTATTGCAACCTTAATATTCATTCTGGTTGTAGAAATGTTAACATGAATATACAAACACAATATAGACACAATGTAATGACAAAAGAATATTGTAATATATTTGATTTGATTTATAAGCAGCATTAATGCTTGTTTCAATACTAAAATAAAAAAAAAAATAATGTCTCAGTCTATACTTGTAATATGTTGCGTATGAGATATTTTCCTGCACATTTCCTGCTATACTTTGTAAATATATAGATAAGTAATTTGAAGAATATATCCTAAGTTTATTACACATCACTTTTATCGCATTAGAGGTTTGTATTTTTATATAATAAAATGAGAGGCTTTGCGAGAAATGCGATATTCCTTATAATTCCGATGGACATGAAAATTTTATCCAATGCAATAATATGCGTGACTGTAAAAGATCGCAATATCCCTCGATGGTTGCAAGTAGGAAAACTTTTACAATTAGAGTTACTACACTATTCACAAGTGCGGAAAAGAATATGCATTTCGTAATAAATGATTAAATGACATTATGTCGATTTTTTAATGATAGTAATTGAATACTAGGGTTGAGTACTAGGGTTGAAGAACACAAGATGTTGAAGAACGTAAATACATAGTCTATCGCAGGACATGTTCGATTACATTTAAATAAAATTTACTGACACAATAATAAAATAACATATTATATCAGTGTTAGTATTTGTCATTCCTATTATCACTAGCTAAAATTCTAAGAAGTGATATTTTCCGAAAAAGGTGCGCAATAAATATTTATAAATACCATTTTTGAAGTTGGGTTCACACAAATCATACGCAATATTATGATTAAATAAAGTCATCCAATTCGCAATCCGAGCGAGCAATTATATCCAATATATACATCAAATAAATAAAATTTATTTCAATCGGACAGTCGCATTCAGTGTGTGTGAGATTTAAATATTAATTTGTAATATTTTATGTTCATTAAAAAAGCATAATCTACTTCATAAAATATTATACAACCTTCTATATTAAATTCAATTTTTCTTAAACATGGTATACTCAAATTTAATTAGTATATTTCAGAAATTTCAGAAAAGATAATTTTCGCAACGTTTTAAACCACTTTTTTAGATACTTTATAAATAGAAAGAAGCTATACTTTTGTACAATATTTCGATAAGTTGTTTGAAAAGAAAGCAATCCAAATATGCAAATGCTTTCTTTAAATTTTTTTATATACACCGTTGGCGGTATATGGCGACCAGTTGAGTGGTCATCAAATGGTGCCAAGTTGCTATACAATGTATTTACTTTTATTATAATATCTTCGGAATACTTTTTGGTGTTAACTCAATTTATGGATATAGTTCTTATTGTCGATAATATCGATGATTTTGCCACTAATACTCTAATGTTCCTAACTATTGTTGCTGTATGTTGTAAAGCGACTGTCGTTGTGGTACGTCGAAATGCGATCATCAACTTAGTGCAAATATTATTGAAAGCACCATATAAACCTCGAGATGAGGATGAAGTAGCTATACAAACAAAATTTGATAAATTCATTAAGTAAGTTCATATCTTTCTTAAAACATCTTAATATTAAAGTATTATTATAACTTGAAATATTTATGCAGTAATTCAATTCGTATGTGTTCACATATTATTTCTTTAAATCGTATCAAATTTTATCAGCATTAGTTGTTTCAATAACAAATTATGTCCTTTAGTTTTTACATTTTGTTGACCATATATTTTAGAGCATACTTATATTTTTACAAATGTAGTAATTTTCTATTTTTTATCTAATTAATAAACTTTTAATCGAAGAAGTCTCCCTTCCAATATCATTTTAAATTATAGTAATAATTCGCAAAACGCATGTACAAAATAATTAAATATAATAATTATAAATATTATGATTATAAATATATTTCATTAAATTAAAAGTATTAGGTGCGCAACTTAATTCTCGGTCTCTATCGACCTCTATCTTTATCGATGAGTACCTATTCAAATTTACATATCTTTCCCGCCATATAATCATATTAGAGCGCCATCTTTAAATTTTCAAATGTACTAATTGTTGGCGATTGTACTACCTAACTTAAAAAAAAAAGTGTTAAAAGCAATGTTCGAGAAACAGCATTTGAGGCATTGCCTTCTTTTCGCTTTTCAATTAAAAAAAAGTGCTGCTGAAGCACAGGAAATGATTTGTTCGGCTTTAGGAGAAGGTGTTATTTCTTATACCTGTAAAAAGTGGTTCCAGCGATTTAAGAGTGGAAATTTCGACCTTAATGATAGAAAATGTCTGGGACAGCCAAAGAAAGTCAACAATGAGGAATTGGAACAACTTTTGGAATTCTTGTCGCACAGGAACAAGGCAAGAGTAACACGGCAAGCCATTTCTAAACGTCTACATAAGCTGGAGAGGATTCAAAAGGAGGGCCATTGGATTCCCCATTGGGTTCCCTCACAGTTCAGAACAAGCGTAAACGCTATGATATTGACTGTCATTGCTATCTCGATTCAAAAAGAAGGATTTTCTGCACAAGATTGTGACCTGTGATGAAAAATGGATTCTCCACGATAATCCAAAGAGGCGAAAATCGCGGGTTTATCTGAGACAATCTTCGAATAGTATTGCAAAACCGAATATCCACGCCAAGAAAGTGTTACTATGTATATAGTGAGATCAGCAAGACGTTATTCATTATGAATTGTTCCAATCCGATGAAACGGTTACTGCTCAACGTTATCAACAGCAACTGATTCAGTTAGTGACGCATTGGAGGAGAAAAGGTCTTACACCGACAAGGGAAGAAAGAAGGTCATCTTCCTTTAGGATAACGTGCGATTACACAGCAAAAACGACTTTGAAAACGATTACTGACTTGGACTGAGAAATTTTATCGCACCCGGCGTATCCTCCAGACTTCATTCCTTCAGATTATCATCTTTTTAAATCTTTACAACATCATCTGATTGATCATTTCACTTATGTCAAGGATGTTGAGAAAATATGTTCGAATTTATAAATTCAAAACAACCCTCTTTTTTCCGAAGTGAAATTTGGCAGCTTCCCGAAAGATGGCGCAAATGTATAGAAAACGAGGGAGATTATTTTGAAGATTAGGTAACTATTCGACTTTTTATAAATTAGTTTCAAGTTAAAAAAGGCCGAAAATTAAGCGCACCTAATATAAATAAATGCTGATAGAAGTTTATATAAAATTTCATCTCGATTCTACATTTGCAGATCATGTTCGATAAAATATTCACTTTTAGCAACAAGTTCCGTTACAGGCACTACAATAGGATCAGTACTAAACGTGATGCAAGGTCACCTGCCTTATCGAATATGGCTACCATATAATTACACTGTATCTATGTTTGGGATTATATCCATTCATCAGATTGTAACTTTAATTTTTGCCACCGTGATAAATGTGGGCACGGAAACCTTAATCTTCGGATTGATTTTACAAACGTGTGCTCAATTTGAAATTTTCAAAAGTCGTCTTCACAAGTTCATAACTAAAAAGACAGTTACATATCTCGGACACGCACGCTCTTTGTCGAATGAAGATAAAACATGGATATCGGAATGTATACGTCATCATCTCAGCATTTACAAGTAAGTCACGTAAGAATCCTTTTATGCATATATTATATAGTCTTTATGCATATATTCAGTTTGCTCTTTATATACGTATATGTGCATTACATATGCGCGCGCGCGCGAGCGCGTGTGTGTGTGTATGTGTATAAGTTTAAATAGCTATTATTTATTAAAATAAATTGTTAATATTTATGATGGAAAGTTATTCAAAATCAAAAGCTAATTCGAGTACTTCTATTTGAAATTATAAATGGGTTGTTACAAAACAATTGTTACAAAACAATTGTTAGAAAACAATTGTTATAGAAAGAAAATACAAAATATTCTCAAGGTGATTATATAAAGTACCCTTGGATGTTCTTGTGTACAAATTTTGACAGTACCTTCTGTAACATAAAGTAAGATAGAATAAGACAAAATTTTTATATAAACATAGGTCCTAAGATGCTACATTAAGAAGTTATGACAAAAATATAAAATATAAGAAACATTTTTTCTTGATCCTGTATTTCAAAATACTGTAAGCTCATATCAATACAAATATAAAATTTTCATATAATTGTTAAGAATACTATAAAATTATCAAAATAGCAATTGTTTCATTCATCTGAAATGATTAACATGAAACCATTACAGGTACGCCAAAACGGTAAACATCATATTCAACCAAATACTTTTCGTTCAGTTTTTTAGTAGTATACTGGTATTATGTACGAGTGTGTATTATTTGTCAATGCATATCAAGGAATTATCTGCAGCTGCATCCTTATTAATATATACTATCTGCATGTTTGTACAAATCTTCGTTTATTGCTGGTCGGGAAATGAAGTCATGCTTAAAGTAACTATTATATACGCTGTAATCCATATGAAATAAATACCTAACCGATTTTTTGAGATAATGGAAAATGGCGGGTATTTTTGAATAATCTATTTTTTTTACAAGAGTTTGCAAAATAATCTAACAAATTATTTGTCTACAACAAATTTGAATTATTTTATACTTGAATACAATAAGAATATATATAATGTATACATGAGCGTGTATAAGACTATAATGTTATTATAATTGTTCGATATTATTATGTAATAATAATTCTATTTATATGTTAATAGAGTATGAGTATAGCGGATGCTATATATCATATGAATTGGCCATTATTATCGATCAACGAAAAAAAAGGACTATTGATGATCATGATACGTAGCACAATTCCTGTAAAGTTCACTAGCAGCTTCTTGATAATTCTATCTCTTCAGTCTTACAGTAACGTTAGTATCGTTTGTCGAAATAAATATTTGGTAATAAATACAGTCAAATATATGAAGATTTACTATTTGATATTAAGAATATTTGTTGTATATGTACGAAAATACAATCGGAATAATAAATGCATAATCTTCCATGTATGTCAATGTTTTTTCTATTTTTCTTTCAGATTTTAAAAACGTCATATTCAGCATTTAATATTTTACAAAAGTAAAGTATAATAAATAACCAAAAATGTGTTTAAATATGATAAAAATGTAGTTTTTGATAAATTATAGTGACTTTAAATCTTATAACTTTTATTTACGTATTTACTTCCGGCCTTATTCCTTACATCAATTATTCGAATATTAACATATGCAGAAAAACACACATGCATGTACACGCACTAAATATATACACGTAACACATGAAATACATCCAATAATGCGTTTTAATATGTAAATAAAAATTGTTTTGAATCAGACGAATATAAAAATTTTAACCTGTTTTGTATATTACATTCTTTGCAAGCACACTAGAAGTAATTGATACTTTTCTAACTCATTTATCATACTTATGTAAGTGAATACGAACAAAAGATAAAAAATATTTAGATACATTATGCGTTATTTTTTTCGTTACATTATAATATATTTTTACACAATATAATAAGACAAATTTTTCGTTAACAGGAAATACAATCTAGCGCTTAAATGCCGATTATATGAAAAACCATATATATATATATAAATATTTCATTTGATAAAAATATGATAAAAATATGATAATGTTAAAAATTGTAAAAAATTCTGATCATTGCAAGTAAAATAATATTTAAAATAAAGCTTTTACACACACACACACACACACACACACACACACAGAAAATAATGTGCGTCGTAATAAATAACTTCGTGTTTACTAATAATGGTCTAGCGAGAAATGACTCAAATCGATTTCGAATTGACATTGATAAGATGATTTTGAAATTAATTTGATACCTAATCCCAATTTGACATCTAATTAGCAGTTCCTCGCTGGATAATGAATGGCTAATGAATGCTATTAATAGTTATATAAGAGTTTTACTGAAGCAAAGAAAAAATTATAGATATTTTATCGCGAAACGTACGTATAATCGATTACATATTCAGTAATCAGAATTTAATAATCTTTCTACACGAAGAAAGAAATTAAGAAGTAAATTATAGTGACTTTTATAATATCTAACAATGTAGGTGCTATTTGTTATGTTTTTTGTATATCTTGATATTATGCACAAGTATATTTTACGTTTCGACACATATTTCCGAGTTCAGAATTGCGACTTTGCTGATATTTGTCTGTTATACAAATTATATAATTATGTTCGTATAAAATTATATTCATCGATGGACCGTAAACGAAATCATGATCAATTCTCAAGGTAAATAACTGTATTCCGTAATCTCTTCTCATAGATACATCTTACAACTGATAAAACGAATACAATATTAATTATTTATGATTGTGTCAATATAGCAAACAAAGTGTCAATTTCCATAATAGATTATCTATTGCCCTCAAATCTATTATTCGTTCTATGATTACGGAAATTATAACTGTTCTCTAAATTGCTGTTAAATATATATGTGTGTGTGTGTGTGTGTGTGTGTGTGTGTGTGTGTGTGTGTGTGTGTGTGTGTGTGTGTGTGTGTGTGTGTGTGTGAGCGCATGTATTTTATATAAACGTGACTTTGTCAATTAAAATCGATAGTGATAGTGAATCCAATTACTTGGAACGATTAGAAATATAAATTAAGTAATAGAAATCAACAGAGGGCCGCACAAATTGAGGATATGAATGAAGTAATTTTCTTAGACATATACCTGATTATAACATAAAAATATCGGTAAATTTCTTCTATATATAGTAATAGATAAGAACAATTATGAAAAATATATAATATTTATTAAAAAAGTCTTATTGTTTCTTATTGTAATCTATGGTTTTAGTTTTTATACTTTAAACGAAATATTATCGATTCCTATTTTTTTCTACAATATTATTATCTGATGAAAGCGGATTTAATTGTTGGAGTACGATAGAAATCTTATAGTAACTTATTTTTCTTTATCGTTTTAAAATCAATTAATAACATATTAAAACTTGTTCTCGTAATCACTTATATATTTACAATAAAGGAATGTGAATGTATCTTATCCTACAAAAAAAAATCTTATAAAAAAAAGTTATTAATAATTTATCAATGATAGATAATTCCGAACATATTTTATCGTTAAATCACAACAGAAAATTTTTTCTATTCAGAGGAATACACTGCAGCTATCCTATTTACATCTTTATTTAAATAAAAAATGTATTTATTTATAATTTTTAATTATTTTATATGGTATATTCATTTTTAGAATTTAAATGACAATAATAATATATTGTACATTAAAGATATTTGTACTTCAACAAACTTGTACTTGTAAACAAAATTTAAATATGTATATTATATATATGTTATAATATAAATTAATTCTCTTATATCAGTACATGGATTATATACTCGATAATATTATATATACATACAAGCTATATTACAAATTGAACTTTAAATAGAGAAAACAAATATATCTATTAAATCAAAGATGTGATTCCATTTTAATTCCAGCTCTAAAATATATAGTGTAAAAAATAGGTATAGTATCATTTGCCATACTCACAATATTTAATTCCTAATTAAATTCCTACATTAGAAAATCAATGCACAATTCGAAATATATGTGTATTCGAAATATATGTATATATACGCGATTAATTAAATACATATGTATTTTCGCGAACACTTGCAATACTTTGCAGATACAGAGAAGTATCTTAAGAAATAGATTATATTTTAATTACACACTTTTATCGCCATACTGAGCTCTGCATTTTTATATAATAAAATAAGAGGCTTTGTGGAAAACATGATATTCTTTGTACTTCCGATGAAAATATGCAAATATTTTATTCAGCAGGAAACAATATGCGTGACCGTGAAGGAGGACATCCCTCGATAGATGGAAATAAGAAAACTTTTACAGTTATGATTATTATATTATTCATAACGATGGAACGAAAAGAACATACTCCCCATAATAAATAATTAAACGACGTCGATGTTTTAATAACTGTAATTAATGATTGACAAGACGTTGAAAAATGTAGATCTATAATATCATACTTACATAGTCTATCGCAAGACATGCTCGGTTACATTTAAGTGAAATTTAATGATACAATACAATAAAATAATATATTACATTAGTTTGTATTTATTAATTTTCTTACCACTAGAAAATTCTAAGAAGTAATATTTTCCAAAAAAAGTGCGCAATAAATACTTATAAATACTTCTTTTGTCGTATTCATACAAATCATGAACTATACCTACTGCAATTAAATAAAGTCATCCGATTTGCAATCAGCAATATCATTGGACGCAATTTGTAAGTTAAATAAAATTGATTGGAAGTGAACAGTTGCATTTAGTATTCAGTATGTAATTTAAACATTAATTTGCAAAATTTACTAAAAGCATAATCTATTTTATAAAATATTACACTAAAATTCTAAATTAAATTCAATTTTTCTTAAACAAAATAAATATATTCGAATTTAAATAATATTATTTCAGAAAAGATAATTTTTAAATCATTTTTTCAGATACTTTACATGTAGAAAGAAGAGATATTTTTGTACAATATTCGATAATCTTTGGAAAAAAAGCGATTTAAATATGCAAATATTTACTCTAAATTTTTTAATGTATACCATTGGCGGTATATGGCGACCTGTTGAGTGGTCATCAAATGGTGCTAAGCTGCTGTATAATATATTTACTTTTATTATAATATCTTCAGAATATTTTTTTCTGTTAACTCAATTTATGGACATAATTTTCATTATTAATAATGTCGATGATTTGGCTACTAATATTCTAATATTTTTGAGCATGGTGGCCGTTTGTTGTAAAACCACTGTTGTTGTGGTACGACGGAATGCGATCATCAACTTAGTGGAAGTATTGTTGAAAGCACCATACAAACCTCAAGACGAAGATGAAATAATAATACAAACAAAATTTGATAGATTCATTAGGTGAGTTCATATCTTTATTAAAATGTCCTGCACAAATTTAATTTTTTTGCGTTTAACACATACTATTATTATATTGTACTATTATTATATTGTCCAAAATTAGCATTGCTTATTTCTATAACAAATTATGAGTGCTTTACCTTTTGCTATGTCTTGTTGATTATATATTTCAGAATATTCTTATATTTTTTAAAAAATAAAAATAAAAATTTTCTATTCTCTGTCTAATTAATCAATGTTTAGTTGAAGAAGTTTCCTATTTCAATATCGTTTTAAATTATAGTAATAATTCACACAACACATGTACAAAATAATTAAATATAATACAGTCATTATAAATCTTATGATAATAAATTTCATTATAATAAAAGCATAAATAAATGGTGATAAAAATTTATATAAAATTTTATCTCGGTTCTACATTTGCAGATCATGCTCGATAAAATATTCACTTTTAGCAACAAGTTCCATTACAGGCGGTACAATAGGATCAGTATTAAACGTGATGCAAGGTCATCTGCCTTATCGAATATGGTTGCCATGTAATTATAATGTATCTACGATATTTTGGACTATATCTATTCATCAAATGGTAACTACAATTTTTGCCACCATGATAAATGTTGGCACGGAAACCCTAGTCTTTGGATTGATTTTACAAACATGTGCCCAGTTTGAAATATTGGAAAATCGTCTTCACAAATTAATAATTAATAAAACAGTTAAATATCTAGGACATGCAAGCAGTTTGTTGAATGAAAACAAAGCAGATCTATCAGAGTGCATATGTTATCATCTCAGCATTTACAAGTAAGTCACTTAAAGCTCGATCTATAATTGCGTAACTATAAATGATGATATTTGTAAAAATGGATCAATCACAATTGAAGAGAAGAATATTCGTATTATATAAATACCTTAACAGATTGTACAGATCCTATAATATGTCTAACTTATAATGTAACTTATATATAAGTAATTTGTAAAATAACTTTCCTAATTCTGCTCATACATGTAATGCAGAGTTAACATAAAACTATTCCAGATACGCCAAAGCGGTAAACGTCACATTCAACCAAGTACTTTTCGTTCAGTTTTTTAGTAGTATACTCGTATTATGTACAAGTGTATATTACTTGTCAATACATATTAAAAACCTTTCTGCAACTGCATCTTTTTTAGCGTATACCATTTGCATGTTTGTACAAATCTATTTTTACTGCTGGTCCGGAAACGAAGTCATATTTAAAGTAATTATCATGCATATTCTATAATTCATTCAAAAGTACCCATACAAAAAAGGTGTATTTTTTTACTGATTTTGAGTATAATCAACGTGATGCTATAAATGTTTTAAAATGTTTTTTGATTGGTCTATTTATAAAATTTTTTTCTTCTGATTGGTCCATCAAACGCTTCAAAATATTTGTAGCGAAACTTTGATCATAATCTTTGTGAGTTAATTAAAATAATAATGGATGTTTTTGTACAACTCAACTAAGATTTTACAAGATAACATAACAAATATGATTTGCCCAACAAATTTGAACTATGCTGTACTCAATTGCGATATAAGAATATTCATTTTCTTACATATGAATTATATTTAATATAATGCATAAACATGCGTGTACCCTCGCACAAGATTATAATAATATTATTAAGATTATTCAATATTATTAATATGTATAATAACTCTAATATGTATTATTAATATGTATAATTAATGTAATAATAACTCTACTTATGTTAACAGAGTACGAGCATAGCAGACGCTATATATAATATGAATTGGCCATTATTATCAATCAACGAAAAAAAAGGATTGTTGATGATTATGATACGCAGTACAATTCCTGTAAAATTCACAAGTAGCTTCTTGATAACTTTATCCCTTCAATCTTATAGCAACGTTAGTATGATTTGGTGTCAAAATAAATATTTGACATAGTATGTCAAAAACGTGAAGATATACTGTTTGATATTATCGATATTTGTCGCGTACATACAAAATACACTCGAAACATAAATGTATGATCTTCCGTAAACGTATATCAACATTTTAATTTTTTTTTCAGGTCCTGAAAACGTCATATTCAGCATTTAGCGTTTTACAAAACTAAAATATTTATAATCAAAAATATATATGAATACTGCAGTATAAGAGTGCAGTATTGCGTATAGTATAGTATATTGAGTATAATATATTGAGTATAGTATAATTTTTAGTATGATATAATTTTTTTAAATACAGTTTTGATAAATTAACTATAACTTTAAATCTTATAATTTTATTTCCTCATTTATTTTTTTATTTCTAACATTATTCCTTGTTTTAATTATTCGAATATGATACATGCGGGGACAGGCACGCACATATACACGTATATACTAAATGTATACATGTAACACAATGTAATACATGCAATAATATGTTTTAATATAAAAGCAAAAATCATATTAAATGGAATGTTAATTAAATTTAAAAAAAATATAATTTTTTTTATACGTTACTTATGTTACTTCGATATTTTTTTATGAATTACATCCTTTATTAGAAATAATTCACAATTTTCCAATTCACTCTCCAACATACTCTCTACATTTAATTTCTAATTAAATTCTTACACTAGAAAATCGGTGCACAATTCGAAATATATATATGACTGTTATATTTTCCCGAACACACAATTGCCATATTTTGCAGATATATACAGAGAAGTAACTCAAGAAACCTATCAGAAAAAAATTTATTACACATCACTTTTATCGCTGGATATTGTATGTAATAAACTTATATGTAATAAAGAGAGACTTTGCGGAAAATATGATATTTCTTGTATTTCCGATGAAACATGAAAACATACAAATATTTTATTCAATAGGAAATAATATGCTTGATCGTAAAGGACGATACCCCTCATTAGAAATAAGAAAACTTTTATTATTACGTTATTATATTCACAAGAACGCAAAAGACATGCACTCCATAATAAATGACTAAACGATCCACGTCGACTTTTTAATGACCGTAATTGATAGTACTGCGGTTGACAAGACGTTGGAGAATAAACTGTACGTAGTCTATTGTAAGACGTGCTCGGTTACATTTAAATAAATTTAACATATTTGAAATATACATAAATGAAATTTAAAATAACATATTATATCAGTGTTAATATTTGTTAATCCTATTATTACTAGCTAAAATTATAAGATATTTCGAAAAAGGTGCGTAGTAAATATATACAAATACTACTTTTGCAGTTGTAATCGCACGAATCATACACTATACTGTAAATAAGTAAAGTCATCCGCAATTCGTATTGTCATTGTACACAGTTTGTAAGTTAAATAAATTTATTGTAAGTGAACAGTCGCAATTGATAATCAGTATATGATTTAAACATTAATTTGTAATCCTTACTAAAAGCATAATCTATTTTATAAAAAATTATACTACCTTCTAAATTAAATTCAATTTTTCTCAAACATAATAATATATTCGAATTTAATTAATATATTTCAGAAAATATAATTTTTTTAAACATTTTTGTTTTAAACATTTTTAGATACTTTATATGTAGAAAGAAGCTATACTTTTGTACAACATTCGATTAGTGTTTGGAAAGAGATCCAATTATGCAATTACTTTCTCTAAATTTTCTTATATATACCATTGGCGGTATGTGGCGACCTGTTGAATGGTCATCAAATAGTGCCAAACTTCTGTATAACATATTTACCTTTATGGTAATATTTTCGGAATATTTTTTGGTGTTAACTCAATTTATGGATATAATTTTTGTTGTCAATAATGTTGATGACTTTGCTACTAATACTCTAATGTTTTTGAGCATTGTTGTCGTTTGTTGCAAAGCTACTGTTATTGTGGTACGTCGGAATACAATAATCAACTTAGTGCAAATATTGTTAAAAGCACCACATAAACCTCGAGATGAGGATGAAATAGCTATACAAGCAAAATTTGATAAATTTATCAGGTCAGTTCATATATCTTTATTAAAGATTCCAATATTAAAATATTAATACTTAAAATATTTATGCAATAATTCAATTTGTACACATTCAGCGCGTACTATTTTCAAATTGTATCAATAAAATATACAAATTTTATCAACTATCTAGTTGTTTCTACAAATTATGAGTCCTTTTATTACATTTTGTTGATCATATTTTAGAGCATACTTATATTTTTATATAAAAATATAGTAATTTTCTATTTTTTATCTAATTAATAAAATTTTAGTTGAAGAAGTTTCCTATTCCAATGTCATTTTAAATATTTAAATTATAGTAATAATTCGCACAACACATGTACAAAATAATTAAATATAATACAATAATTTTATATCTTATGATTATAAATTTTTTAAAATTAAAAGTATAAATAAAAATGCTAATAAAAGTTCATATAAAATTTCATCTCGGTTCTACGTTTGCAGATCATGCTCGATAAAATATTCACTTTTAGCAACAAGTTCCGTTACAGGCACTACAATAGGATCAGTACTAAACGTGATGCAAGGTCACCTGCCTTATCGAATATGGCTACCATATAATTACACTGTATCTATGTTTGGGATTATATCCATTCATCAGATTATAACTTTAATTTTTGCCACCTTGATAAATGTGGGCACGGAAACCTTAGTCTTCGGATTGATTTTACAAACGTGTGCTCAGTTTGAAATACTCGAAAGTCGTCTACACAAATTAATAATTAATAAAACAGTTAAATATCTGGGACGTGAAAGCTCTTTGTCGAATGAAAACGAAATAGGACTGTCGGAGTGCATACATCATCACCTCAACATTTACAAGTAAGTCATATAAAAATCCATTTTTGTGCGTATATATTACGTTACATATATACACATATGTTTGCACATTTAATTATTATATTTAAAAACTGATTCATAACGACAATTATTAGTATTTATAATGGAAAATTGTTTAAAAATAATTTAAATTTGTTTGAAATTATTAAATAATTTATTATTAAATAATTGTTTAAAAATAATTGAGTTTTGTTTGAAATTAATAAATAATGGTTATAATAAGCTAAACAATAGGACATGTATATTCTCAAAATGATTTAATTATATTGTGTTCCCGGATTTTTTACACAAAGTTTAACGATATGTTCCATGATCTAAAATAAAAAAAAAGTATTATATACATACAGTTCTTAAAATATCAAAAATTTATCAAAAATTATAACAAAAATATAGAATATGTAGGAAATAATTGACCTAATGTTGCATTTTAAAGTGCGCATTTCAAAATGCGATTTGTTGATATCAGTACAAGCTTAATATCAATGTAATTCTGAAATTTATCACCTTTTTAGAGAAGGGTAGGAGAAATCCCTCTGTAAAAGTTTGTCTTTTAATTTGAGCGAATGACACTTTGACATGCAAAAATAAAAATTATTTTTTACACATTTCATATTTTTGTTAACAACTTTTATAACTTTTTAATAAAGAATTTCAAGAATTATATGTTTATACAATATATTCTTCTTATTGTAACTTATAGAATATACTATTAAAATTTTTGTAAAAAATCCGGGGACAATCCTTGTATAGTAATTTCATGGTGAGTTATGGTGGAAAAAGTACTTCCTATCCTAGAAAAAAATATTTTATATATAATCACATAAAATTATATATAAAATTATATATAATCTTATATATAATCTTATATAATTATATATAAATGGACACCTTTATATATATAAATATAAATATATATAATATATATAAT